GTTGGTGCATTGATGCTTGAGACTTCATGGTACCTGTGGAAGAGACAAGGGTTTAGTGCTTTAGCACAATAAAGAAACTCAGACTGCTCCAAACGTAAACAAAGACTCCCCATGAAGTTTTCAAACAAATCTGCTGACTTACTTTGTGCCCTTGTACTTCTCCCGGACAGACTGCTGTGCATGCTGAGGGGCATTGAGGTATATGCGGTGAAGATCCTCAATGCATGGCATCAGATCTTCCAGAGAGTAGCCAGTCATCTCGTTCAAGGACTTGGGCTAAGGAGCACAACTTTGGTCAGTTTGTGTCTTCAAATATACAAATACATTTCCCCACACACTAAACTAAAGCTTGCATAAACTTGGACAAGTTTAACTTTAAACAACAGTTAAGAGTAGATGCAAGCTCTGCAGTTATTGGCTGTGCTGCTGGACACCATTGGCATTTCCACCTACATATAGACCAATACCTCCTAGTTGCCCATTTGTACAAGTCTATAGAGCTCACCCATGAGGCACCAGTCACTGTGGTGTTAGCCAGAATGTAGGCCGCAGCTGCTGTCTGTGATGGCAAGTATTTCAAGAAGGGGTCTGAATCAACCAGGCTGAGCTCACCAAGGTACTGAAGATGAAAAACAACAACAAATGTTTAGACAACGCACTTAAGAGATAACTTTCAGGCTACAGAAATCTCATGCCCACCATTGCCAAGCTCTCCACTTGTTTGGTAACAGCATGCTGCAGGAAGTACTGAGTGAGAAACTGGTTTATTGTTGGTGCTGCCAGGTCAAATGAGAGCACTTTAAGCACCAGATGCTCCATTCTTAACACTTGCTTCTTTGTGTAGGTGTCGTCTGTGATGTAAACAAACTCTGCCACCTCTGGTGGGTAGATCTCTTCAAATTTCCTGCGTAACATTCAAAAAGAACAAATGTAATGTTTACAAAGTAGTGGGCTTTGAACATTTGTAGAATCTGACATGCAAAGAGGTACATACGAAGCTAGCAGCATCGCTGCAGTGCCAACCAGCTGAAGTTTTCCTCTTAGGACAGACATTGAGGAAAGGAAGCGATCAATGTAGTTAACAGCCAGATAAAGTGTCTCATTCTGGAGCTTGTACTCTTCGCCAACTTCGACCAGCCAATCAACCAGAATGGCTCGCATGCTGTTTGTGATGTCAGGCTGCTTCTTCATGTAGCCAGCTTTAGGCCTGGTTTTCACCTGTGGGGTGACAACTTATAAAGAGCCAGTTTGCAAACAGGATCAGATAACCATCAACAGGTTTAGGTTGAAAAATGTTGCCAGGGGACATGTCTAAGATGGCAGCACTGCCAGAAAATTCTCATATGCTTTTTGGCTTTAGCACTTATATGCTAATTTCTCACCTCCATCTCCCTCAGGTAGCTGTGAATTTCAGCTGCATATTCTGGGGCCTCATTTACATTCACTGGTTTTTCCTCCCCCTCAACCACAGACATGTCCATTGGAGAATCTGAGAAGAGTTTTATATTTAGTAAACAGTAAAAACCCAGAGCAGAGTAACAGTTGCTAGCGTCATTTCCTTTAAACTCACCAAAGCTGACATCCATCGCTGATGGAAGTTCAATAGTGGCAAGGGGCTGCCGGAGCCGTGCCACAGCACTGATCTCCAGTGGGGATTGTTCAACTGTGGGCTTGGCTTTGATACTCTCAACTGCTTGCTGTGGCTTCTTGACACAGGCTCCATCAGGCTCATCAATATGGATCTGGAAAGCGGGTTGCTTGGCCAGTGGTTTATCAAAGCAGCTTTTCCCAAAGTCTTCATTTTTACAAGACAAGGATTGTGTTGAATCCTGGAAGCAAAGAAAAATTCAGACATGGCCCACAGAATAGAAACTTTGGTAGATTAGATCTGACAGCAACACCATCCAAGGGCATACATGCTGCTCAACTTAGTGGTTAGATGAAGACTTTTCATTACAACACTAAGTGTGCTGCACTTAACTGAGAACATTCAGATGATATTACACTAGTCAGGTTCAATGTTAATACTCAATTGTTACATCTGCTGAAGGGAGGGAAACGTTAATAAAGCACCCTCAAGAAGGCATGTTTGTTGTTTTAAGCAGCCAACTACATGACTGACTTCACCTTAATGTTGATATTAAAATGGCGGTCAATTGGTGGGAACGGGGCGTACACACAACTACGTTCGTGAGTTTGTAAATATTAAGTTAAGAAATAATAAAAGCATCAAGTATTTTTTTAACAAGCAGGGACATGGTAAAATGTATTGGCTCCAAAACATGTAGTCAACATCAAAGCGCAGCACCAGCTAAGCAGCTACCAGTTAGCATTGTTACCTGCTTTCCGCCGACTTGGGATTTGTTCCTCTGGTTGTTCTGCAGGGCTCCTAGCACGGTTCTGTTGGCGGCTTGCTTCGGAGGAAGGTTTTCTAGGTTTTCAGTCGCCACAGGTCGGGCTTTAAGCGAGCCTCTGAGTCTCTGCAGTACATTTTCCTGATTCTGGTAGTCACTAGCCGCGCTTCCCTGTGCTCTGTTAGCGCCTGACATGTTGCCCTCCAACTCCAGCCTGCCTTCCGCTAGCTTAACTACAATTGTTGAGTACTTGTTAACTAGTGAAATGAGCCCTCAAATATGATGCGTGGATAAAGGGATCAAGTATATGGATATTATAGCGAGGTTACCATTAGCTGCTACCTTGCCGAGGAAGCTTAAAGAATTGTTCACAATCAAAACTAAGCTGTTGAGATGGTAACCACACTTGGAATCCCCGTGCTAAAACAAAGCAGACAAAAACAAGACATGCACAATTGGTGGTACAATGGCTACAGTCGGAAGACAAGAATTTAAGTCGCCATAACGCACGAGTTTCGAATTCACTACCAACCTGGAAACAAGGGAGCTAACCTCGATCCATTTACACAGAAACCTGTAGAGACTGCAGCTTTCTCTCAGTTCAAGTAGCCCGCGAGGATTGAAACAGACCAATCAGAAGCCGCGAAGGCAGTGACGCGTAAAATGTACGGGGAACCGAAGAGTACAATAATCTTCTGATTACTAAATTCAAAACCGGTTTGGCACGTTTGAACGTAAAATCGCGTTATTAAGTCAGCTGGGCCTGTGTAGCAAATGCACGCATAAAGGATAAGATCTTGTTTTATTTTTTTCCTTTTTTTATTTTGCTATCTTCATATATGTTCAGACACACAGGTTACCCAAGGCATTTAATCATATGAACCATTTGTAATCTGTTCTTAGTGACTAAAGACTTGTGTTGGGAAGTACTAACTGCATGCAATACACACAATAATTAAACCACTTTTTGGTTATAGTTTAATTTTTAATGAATACATAATCAGAGAACCTGGATAACTGAGTGCGCTTGCCTTTAAAATCAGTCTGACACTAATTATTTGCTGTCTGCAAATTGCACATAAAACCAAAGTTTATATCCTTCTACTTTTGCATAAATAGTGGACCGCTATAATTTACATATGACATATGAACAGGCAGTCACTGCTATAAACACAACTAAATATCAGCTTTTACTGATATGACTGTTTTTTTATATATATTTTTTTTTTTATTTACAAAGCAGTTTGAACTACCGGTATACTTCCATCCAGTTATTTAGTTAACAATTTTGATAACCTTGAGTATTTTATTGCAAGTAAAAGTTTAAATATTTAATCTTTAATACAATATAATGTTTAAATATTCACTAAATGTTAACAGCAAAATATACTTACAATAATAAAGGAAATTCTCCTTTACAGAGCATGTTACATATCCTCCTAAATGTCCTCCGTAGTGGACTTTTGCAGTCATTTCCTCCATTTTGTTCTGTTTCTTTTAAATGACTAGAAAAGGAGTCCTTTTTAGAAGCAGAAAGAAATTTATTGCAGTTTGTTGAGGGAAACAAGGATCTTGAGTTGTCTGATGAAGAAGATCATAGGGAATAAGGCCTTCAAGAAGAAAGAAAGAGGAGCATCAGAGATGGTACTCAGACGAAGTCCTCTTGAACTTGCTGTCATTAAGTGGTTGGACAACAAGCCAGTTGTCATGGCATCCTCTGCATATGGCAATCAACCTCAGGACACACACATAGGATGGTCCAAGAAAAACAAAAGTTTTGTCCAGGTGCCAAGGCCACTGCCAATTGCTGAGTACAATACCAACATAGGTGGCGTTGACCTTGTCGACAGAATGTTGAGTTTCTATAGGATGGTCTCTCGCACTCGGAAATTGACAGCACGTGCAGTTCTCTATTTTTTTGATCTGGCAATCACCAACTCATGGCTTCAGTATAGCAGTGACTTGCAGTTTTGGGGGAAGAAACCACTCAAGTTCCTTGACTTCAAACTGTTCCTTGGTGAAGAGTTGAAGCAAATGTTTGCCATCAAAGATCAGTTTTACATGTTTGGCCTTCCAATGTCATGTGATATCTAAAAAGTAAAAACTTTTTTTTCCCCAAAAAAATTATTTCAGCCTTCTGATTACCTTACAAACATTAGGGGATTTAAAAAAATAAAAAAAGGACAACATTTTTTTTCCTGGTAGTCAGGAGGATATATTTGCTCGTCTTTTAGGGAGCGTTTCAGATGGCACCAGTTTAAAGGACAATGCAAACTGCTAAATCTGCCTCTGCTTTGTATTCTCTAAACTACTTGTATGTCAAATTTAAAAGTGCAAAGAAACTAGATACCAAATAAATGGTAAAGTGTAAAGTGTAAAAAGTGTAAAGTGTGAGTGTTAGTCCCCATAGGGAAATGCATAGTAAAGTCACAAAGTAGCAAAAAATACAAATTCTATGGAAAAAGTACATTGGGACTTTCAGTCCTTCAAAGTATATGTATTCAATTAACTTCCACAACGTTGGTGTGATTTTGCAGGACTTGATCTCTGGTACTCTATCAGACAATGGAAGCAAATAGGCAATCTATAGATTTGCTGTCCATGATAGTGTAGATGTAACAGTTTAATGAATGAGACTTGATTGGCTCTTTGTTAAAATTCACTGTATTATGCATTTCTTCTTCTACACAAGTAGGTTTTTGTAGTAGCATTAGTCCAGTGAATAATGAACTTTACATCATCTCATTTTTATTTGAAGAGATGAACATCACTCATATGAAAACCATAACATAAAAATATACATTACATATTTCTTTAACAACCTTATATTTGGTCACTTCAAATGCCAGCTATTCATACAGGTAACTTTTTTTATAGTTATTTCCAGATACTTTAAAATACATAAATATTTAAATATTGTGCTCAGTAGCTATGACAAAAAGTAACTAAATATATTTAATAACATTACAGAAACACAGAGATACTACCATGAAACAAGTGTTTCATTAGAATACAAAAATAGCACAAACATTCAAAGACAACTAAATGAATACCTTCTGACCTATTAAAAACTTAGGCCTCATTAAAAAAATCTAACAGAGAATTCAAGTCATAGTTATCAAGTATCTCCAGCAATGAGGACACCTTGGTTTTCACATTCTGGCCCTTGAACTTGAATTTGTCGATGAAGAGGTCTGTGATCATTCCTACAGGAAAGAGAATGAAAAATATTAACTATCATAGGCCAACAATATTAATACGGTAAGGATCACAATGAGATCAGTTAAATGAAACTGTTAAAACATTGCACCGTAAAGCCTTTCAAGGTGTGCAGGCTGTTTCTTGTACTCCTCAAGGAGATTAGCGGATTCATCCAAGATGTTGCGATATTCTGGAATGAGGAAATCAGCATTCCCCTCATGAACCTGAAGCTCCTGATGACCACAGAGGAAGTAGAGACGCATGTTGGGAAATAGGAAGCAGATATTAGTAGCTACATTAAATTACACTCAAAAGAAACATGTGAGCAAACTGTATCATTTCACTAAATCGTGCACAGCAGATTTGCAACAGTTTCAACAGTATATTTGCAGGGATGCAATGGAAATAACGTTGCCATATTGTGAAACTGGTGCCTCTGTAATAAAAATATAACCTGCAGGGATTACAGCTTTTTAATCCTCATTTTAGGTTTAAATAGCTTTAAAACAGTTTTCATCATTTTAAAATCATCAGTTTAACTGAAGATTCTATACGTGCAATTTATGTCAGCTTAGAGTTATGACTCTCTCACCTCTCATTTACATAACCATTAAAAATAATTGCTTGTGGCATTAGCAAGATGGCTGCCGAGTTGCAAGACTTTTTTCTAGAAGGTATTTGATTAAATTCTGATCAAACCGGGTGGTCTTTACTGCAAATTCCACAACACAGTTCAAAGGAATGAATATCTTTTTTGCTTTTACACTTACTTTAAGGGCATCGATGAGCTGAACTTTTCTAGCCAACAACAGCTGGTACTCCAGCTTTGGATGGATCATGTTAAGGGTGTGGCTCACAGAGTCATCACTGATTTCTGGAAGATTAATAAACATAAATACAGGTTTTCTATTTCTTCTATTTAAAAAAACAAAACAAAAATAAAACCTGACAGATGGTATTGAAATAGAACAATAATACACCTACCGTACGAAATGTTGAGATTGATTTTCTTTTTGGTAGCTTCTTTAGACAGAACATCACTCAGTATGGAGATCGTAGAGATGTTGTCAGACTTAAAGTGACCCTCCCCTTTGCTGTGAATACAAAATGGTTCAATATATTAAACTATATGAAACTACCTATTAAACTCTTGAAAAACTTAAAGTGTATGTAGTTTAGAGCTTGTCTACTGTGTGCCTGCATTTACCAGTAGGTGGCTTCAAGCTGTGTGCCAAGGAAGGTGTTGTGGAAATAAAATGTGATGCTCTCTCCTGCGGGTGTTTTCTCAGGTACCTCCGGCAAACAGAAAACCACCCAGGAGTGGATCTCTGCAAAACTGAACTGCCCAACCAGACTGAGCCTGTTCATTGGCCTTAAATAGAGTGAGAAAAGCAAAGAGAAACAAGAACAAATGATCCCATATGGGAAAGATATATATAAATCTTATAAAGTTTGTATCTGTCTTGTGTGAAACTTGTATGAAAAGCATATAAGAGTGAAAACAGATATAAGATCCCTTGAAAAAATATATAATGAAACTTGTATGTTTTGGATACTTACTAAAACAATGTATGAAAGTAATGAGAAAGTGGCCACTTTCATGAGTAATCACATATAAGTTTTTACTATTTCTTTTCCATATGGGATTTTATGAGAAAAAAGGGAAATCCTGATAAAAGAACCGTGTTAGAACATTCCTGTGTTGCTGCTATTAACAGTAATATATACATACAACACAGAGTTGCTGTCACATATCTCATAGAAAACCATAGTAAAAGTAGAGGTTACTAAGGCTACGTTCACACTGCAGGCGAAAGCGCATCAAATCAGATTTTTTTGACCCTATGCGACCCATATCCGATCATGCTATGACAGTGTGAACAGCACAAATCCAATATTTTCAAATCCGATGTGGGTCACTTTCGTATGTGGTACTGAATCCGATACATATCCGATGTTTTAGAAAGCGACTGCTGTTTGAAAGGTCAAGTCGCATTAAATCCATCTTTTACATCACTGACACAAGACAGACGCCAATTATCAGCTTCGGAGAAGCACCCGATAAGACATCGCGAACACTTCCTGGCCATCCAGTGTAGATGTTAGTGAAACTGTTGGGAGGACAACGTTGGAGAAACATGAACATTTTATTTGTACTGTATAATCTGCAGATTCTGACAGAAATCTGCAGCTATCCTTTGAAGCACCGCTCCTCTAAAGCAGCAATAAGGATAATTATTAGGTTATTTACATTATTATGTAAATAACAAAATAACTTAAAGCAAAAATTGGGAAACGTAAAGTCCGAAGTCTTTACATTAAGGGCCATCAGTCAAACAATATTGTTTTCTCTGGGTCTAAACAGAGCGCGTTGTGTGTGTGACGTCTTCTTTTGCGCATGCGGGCCGCTTTGGGCGTTCACACTAGAGCGCATTTGCTGTCGCATTTTATTTGTAGTGTGAACAAGCAGACAAAAAAAATTGGATTTGATCAGAAAATCGGAATTGAGCATTAAGACCTGCAGTGTGAACGTAGCCTAAAAGCAAGAAGTAAGCATATTTATTTTCAACACACAAAAAATGATAAAATAAAAATATTAAATCAACCAAGGAGATTATGTGTCTGCTAAAAACTGGAAGCAAAACTAGAAATTCCATGTCATTTCACAACAAACACATAATAAAGTGAAATAACAAAAACTGGGAGATATCGCAGTTCTAGTTGCTACTAATCTTCAGATGTCTTTGTGGATCCAGGAACGCATGCATGATGTCAAAGGAATTGTCAGTATATATGTGTGTAGTCACTCACATTTTTATTTGTTTGTGGGTTTGTTACTCTAAAAGTTATGGAAAAATAACATCAGAATTTCACCAGAGCTGGGGCTTGATTTATGTTTGTTGGGTATTCAGATCCAGATTATTTTTTTTAAATTCAGGATTCTTTATCACTGTGATGGAAGGCAAACTGGACACTGTGTCTTATGTTGCACTGACAATTTTAGTTTCAATTCGAGGGTCTAAATGTAGGAACTATTCACAACTCTAGGTTTAAAGCTAATAATATGTTTTTGTTTTTAAAACTATCTTTTGTGTTCCGCTTCAAAAAGAATGAGATTACCGTACCAAATTTCAATTCACATCTCTATGATTTTATTATACTTGAAAAGACTGTTTTCAAAATTCAAAGTAGTGCAAAGTTTCTTTCATTCTTTTAATTACCTCTCTTGGTCTATGCTGTGAGTCCGCTGGTGGAGGGACAGAGGTTTGATCTGGTACTGGCGTACCTGACATGTCTTAGGTTGCAGTCTTGGGGTAATATACGCCTGCAGGGTTCCATACTGTCCCTCAATGGACCTCACCTATAGAACAGTTTGTTGTGGATTAAACATATTACTTCTTCTGTAACACATCATATCACAAATAGCTGAGGCAAGTTGATTATGTAGCCATTTTAAAAATGCCACACTTTCATGTACTACTTACTTTGAGCTCAATTCTGGTAGTGTTGGCCTGACATCGGTATGTGGCCAGGAGGAAGTTCCCATTGGGCTGCTAAACATAAACTGAATGAATGTGAGGCCTTTGATCACAGAAGCAGGTTTATGACTTCGTTTGTAAAAGTTTTTGTGTGCACATAGTTTACACAGCTCACCTCTGAGTCACATTCACTGAAACTGACGACAGCTGAGTTCTTATCCACATCCAGGAGGTCAATGGGGACATCACTCTGTGTAGAACATTAGTCTCAGTCATATTCTGCTAGCTTACTTTTGCTACACGGAATGAAAAGTGTACTTTTTTTGGTATTGCAACTTGTCTTTTAACAGTGCGGTATAACAGACACATGTACCTGCAACAGCAGGTTGTCGATGGCAGTCTGCACCTCCAGGGTGAGGCTGTAGCTGGCATCGTCTTGGCAGAGTGTAAACTTGTCATTGATGCTGAAGACGGGGACAGCAGAGACAGCCGTGCTTGATTGAGAGGTCTGCTGGTACTGCTCACGTCCCTGCAGGACTTTGACCTGCAGCTGCTCCAGCTCTGCCCTGAAAGTTAACAACATTACTAACTGAAAAACTGAAAGACTTGTTTTGAAATCACACTTCACAGTAAACCAAACAAAAAAAAAAAAAGGGAACAAGATTTTGCTAATACCTGAGTGCTTCTACTTTAGACTGTGTCTCCTTGCTCATCCTGACCTCATCTCCGGGGCCAGCCTCGGCCTTCTGAGGCTCAGTGGTCAAACCAGTCACCCATCCTGTAAGAAGTGAAGAAAAGAGTGGACACAAGACACCAGACACTTATTGTTCCTGAGGGGAAAAAATGCATAAGCTGCAGTATTAAGGGAAACATTATCATCTAACCTGTGTAGGTGGCAGTCAAGACCTCATCATAAGACTCCTTCCCTACACAACCACCCTGGATGGAGGTCACACTCTCTGACAATACCTGTTATGAGGAAACACAGCAGAGAAAATATTGAAGATTAAGAAGGGAGTCTGTCATTTAATACCTAAATGCATTAATATTTGTAAATTAAGCAACAATTATTCAAATAACTTTAGGTTTGTAACAGTTACAAAAATACAACTGTAAATCTACGGAGAGTGAATTTTTAATCACTTACGTGCTCAAAGCGCAATGTCGGTTTATTAGAGCTGTCAAAGCCGTAGACCTCAACCGTCCCATCATCCCTCCCCACCAGGATATCATTCACTCCGTCACCAATAATATCATAGTTGTCAATGCAAAGAATTCCTGGGAGACAGAAAACGTGATCGTTTTGCCAGAGGTTAAGTCATCACCTAGTATGCATGAGTACCAGTTTAAACATTGTGGAAAGATACACTGTGTATAAAATGAGATCAGATAGATCTGTTTGAGAAACAAATTGTTACTGCATGCCCATGCAGTAGACTCCACTTTATGACTGCTTTGACTCAGAGCAATCACCCTCTGCTGGACAGTAAAAATATTGCACTTTTAAGTAGGGCTGGGCGATATATCGAGTTTTTTTTAAAATATCGATATATTTTCATACGAGATATAAGATGTGACAATATCGTTTATATCGATATAGTCTATGTTACTTTATAATTATACTTGTGGAGCCGCAGGTTTGCCTCTCTTTCGTCCACTTTTGTCTCTACGCTGCGTTACTCGGCCTCGCCTCTCCTTCACTGAACACAACTCCTCCTCCCCCATAGCTTCACCTGCAGGCAACGACAAGATGAACACGCCAAATATCGAGTTACTGTGGATTGCCCCGTGCGTGGGGCTGGACGGCGTCAACGTGTTAGCGAGCTAACCGCCTTTCATTTTCTCAAAAATCGACAGTGCGCCTTATGTATGAATTCTGGTTGTGCTTACTGACCGCGAACCGATTTTATGTGGTACACGGCGCTCAGCAATCTGTCAAAAAATGTTTTCGTTCGACTTTGGTAAGCTACGGAGCTGCACCACTTGATGGATTGTCGGAGCATTACGGCCACCGTAGTCCGGAGCCTCGCGGAGTGATACGTACTGTGCTTCAACGTAATATTACAGTATTGTGTGTGTGTATAAGGACCATAAATGGCACCTGTTAAGAGACGTGGTTACAAAGAGGATTTCAAACTCAAGGCTGTCAGTCACGCAGTAGAACTTGGGAATAGAGCAGCTGTGAAATCTGTCTGTCTTTGTTATTATGCTCATCGTCTTTTAGTTTACATTTTGACTGCACAATTGTGAGCTTTTTGTTATGCACAAAAACAACATTGTTTTCTTTTATTTATGGAGCATTATTATTTAATAAATGCTGATAATTTATTTTTGAGTAATTTCTTCATGTACATCTACGCTGTATGTTAATAAAAGTGCCTGTGTGACATCTGGGACACAGCTTTGACTAAACTCTCTTTTTGTTCTTACCTTATGGCTTTAAAAAAACATATCGAGATATATATCTTATATCGCCATCCAGCTAAAAAATATCGAGATATGAATTTTGGGTCATATCGCCCAGCCCTACTTTTAAGGCACCTGTACACTGGCTTCATGTGTAAGAACTCGATGCTATGCCCATCTTTTCTAACAGTGTTCATGAGAAAATAATGCATTTCTGTACATACCTCCTTTCTTTTTGTCATTGTCAATTTCCCATTTGGTCGCAGCTGAAAGTTCACCAATCTCAACCAATCCTATTTTTCCATCTGTGGTTCCAAAGAGAATTTCCTCTCCTAAAGAGAAATTTCAGAAATTAAGTTCAAACTGGTACATATAAAGCAGCTTCATGCTTTATGGTTACAGTAAAGAAAGAAATCAACTTGCCTTGATCTTTACACAGTTCCAACACAGAAGGAGGTCCAGGAACTTCTATGTCATATGCAAGTTCAGATCTCTACATACAAAACCATAAAACAATTGGCATCTCTCATTTGACAAAGAGCAACTCAAAATCAGAACAGTAAATGAGAGCTCAGTCTACCTGCAAGACTCTGAGCACTCGATCTTGGCATGCCAGGACGGGGACGAGGTGAGTGAGGTTTTCAGTGGACAAACATGTGATGTCATTGATCTTGTCTCCAGAGAGGTAGTAGTCCTGATCTTTGCAGTCACAGTAGTGGTTGTAGATGTAACTTGCGCACACAAAAAGGTCGGCGCCTGAGACATGCCTGGAAAAGACCCAGTGGGGTAAAGATGACACAACTCTGCACAGCTCAATCGTGTAATGTAAATCAAAATGAAAAAACATGGTTCCTACATTGCATTAATGCTCTCAGTTAGGTTGGCTTCAAAAGTGAGGAACTGTTTGCCTTTCTTGGTGAATCCTCGGACCTGAGAACCAGAGCAGACAAAGATCTTTTCCTGGGGAGTTCCCGCAGCACCTCCAAGGTCCATTCGGGCTATCTTCTGGCCAGGAAGTGTTTTAAAGACAGGCTGAAACAAAGAGTCAAAAGACTTACAAGCTGTTCATTTCAAATCTCTGTGATGACAGGAAAATATTTACTCACCACTGCTTCCCCCTTCTTGATGCCAAAACATGTGAGTATTCCATCATGATCAGCAATAGCAACCTAAAACATGAGGAGACACCAATCAAGCACTCTAATACTTACCAATTTCATTTTTTAGTTTAATTAACGATTGTAGCAAAGGCAAGGAGTCATATCTAGAAGATAAGCCCAGTATCAAAGAGAGTATAAAAGAGACCTTACATATAGTATAATTTGTTTTGACCAAGCACTGATCCCACATGGTGATATGACCCTTGAGGTTTACCCAAAATGCACTTTTTAAAGTTTTCTACAATGAACTAATAGAAAACATGTTTAATTAAAGCCTGCTGGAAAAATAGTGTTTAAATCTTGTTTTGAGGCAAAGTCTATTGATCTTTATGAAATTTGACTGACTATACAAGCAGTTTACATGTCCCTCTTGCAATTAAACTGAAACTTCAAAACAACTGCCCAATTTACTGCACAGCGTGACAAGTCTTACTTCTTGATGGGCTCTGGTAAAGCAATTATTTATCAGAAATCAATGTCATTGGTTTGTCATGTCATCTGTAATACATACAAAATATGTATTACAGATAAATAAACTAAAATCCAAATAACAAAACTGGTTACATTTTTAAAATCAGAATCAGAAAGACTTTATTTATCCCCAAGGGGCAATTAACAAAATTAATCATCTTCAGTCTTTACCAAAAGCAGGAAAACAATCTGGATTTAGTCAGAAAACAATACTAACACCACAAATGTTAATTAATTTAGGTTACTGTATGGCTCATAAACGATACCTTTTGGGTTGCCTTTTTTCCCAGTGGAGGAAGAAGCCTCATAGTTTTCTGAGATGTCACGCCAACCTGAGAGATCGAATGGAGGAGAACTTTTACTCCTAATATTAATTAAAGAGAGAGAAAAACACACACAGCATGAACCCGACGTAGTCTGCTTTGTTTTACCTGAATGTAATCAACTCTATTGAGGCGAAGATCCATCTTCTTTCTACTGTTTCAACTTAAGTAGGAAAAAAAATCTGCAAATATTCCAAGCAGGTTATTCAGACATTACTCTTGGCCCATAGCCGCCCGTTACAATTAACACTTTGTCAGAAAAACGTTCAACCCAATTCCAAGACGATAACGATGCTATCTGAGACTGGGATTATCTAAAGCAATGGGATTAGCTCAACGTGCTAGCTTTAGCAATCGGAGCTAACTGGTACTGGCACGCAGGCTTCCTCAACGACCGAAAACCATCTTTAAAAAAGACACGAAGGAAGTCGATGTGAGCGCGAATAAATTCTCATTAAACGCCGATATCAGGTATAAACGATCTGTGCAACATTTTGGGACTTGTAGAGGGCAGTTGCCGTTGCTAATGGCAACGTTGCAGGCTGTAACAAACCTGCAATTCCACTGGTTCAAAGGGAGTAACGGACATTGAAGCTGCATTTTGATTGGCTATCTCATTCACGTTTTCTACCGGTGCGTCATGTCACTTCTATATCTAGCAGACAATACAAGAATACATAAAAGACAAAAAGAGAAATGAAACATAAAAGCAGCAAATAATGACAATAATGTTTTTAAAAGTGGCTTAAGTGTGCCATTCTGCCAGTAATGTGAAAAATCCCACTAGCCTTTTGAATTTTCAAAGCTTTGGAAACAACTGAATAGTTTTTACTCAAGGATCTGTACCAACTTTTACTCTTTCTCTATTTTTGGGAAATAGAAAATTTACTACTTATCCAGACCCTCTTGGCACCTCTCATTTTTAAACATAAAACACCATTTAATTATAGTGACACATTTATTATGTCAATGTTGAAGGTACTTAAAAGTCATAGTCATATATTTTTTCATTTACACCATTAATAAACACAGTCCTTTACCTACACAAATGCTGGCACATACTGTAGAGAAACTCAAATTTGGTTTTAGTGATGGTATCTTGTCAGAGTTTTCTTGAAAATTGTCTTCTTTCTTGTGCTTTCAGATGACTAACTGGTGTTGTCAGGAGTAATCAGGGAAGAGTACGTGTCTGAATTTAAATGAAAGCACAAGCTCTTTTTACTCTCCCACATAAATATCTGTTGCATCATAAAATCAAAGAACTCTTCTTTAAAATGACACATAAATATCACACATCGTTTTTTGCAAATATATCCCAGATAAATGGCGTGCAGTGTGTCTATAAGATGTATTTGATATGTACATGTAAAATTGTTTTTAGGTTTAATTGGAAACCACTTAAAAACAATGTACTCATATGGTCTGAACAATTATTCACTAACTCACATTTCTCTAGTGAGAAACAATATACAATTACACTGAAATTATCTGTGATAAATACTTTTATATTAGACCTATGCTTTGAATAACAATTAAAAACAGGCATAAATAAATCCTTATTAGGATTTGTTCATATTGAAGTCAACTATTATAATACAAGAAATTATTGGTACCAAACCCAATTAGCATTCTTCAACACTATGTTTGTTTAGGAGATAACTTTATTCTCATTATAAAAATGTGGTTTGTCTGTAGGCAAGTAAACACAATTAACATGGCAGGGAAAGAAAAACATACCAGGGCATGCATTAAGCAAGAAACCTATAGCCTAATAAAAAATGAATGACTCAAAATCAAAACAGCTTTTAAACTGAGAAATGAGGTCAGGGTGCATTCATAAGTATGGCATGCTTTCTGCAAGTTATTCCATTTGTGAATCATACAGCAGAACATCTGGTACCTTAAAATATCCTATAAAATACAGCAGATTATTTTCTCAGTTTAACATCCATTTTGACATCATAGCTACATAAGATTTTGCATGTTGCTGAAATGTGAGTCAATGGCATTGATAGAATACATTTAATATTTAGGCTTTTAGACACATAAGAGCATTGGATGCTTTACAAATCAGACATAGTTGGAAACTGAAAAAGTACAATATGATTATTTAAAGAAATGATCATAATCCATTGTTTATAAACACATGTTCATTAATTTACTAATCTGAGAATGTTAATGTTTCATTATATAATAAGTGATTTTAATGAATAAATAAGACATGAAAGGAAAGAATGATAACAGCCGATAAACAGGGAACCCAGCTGATGTCAAGCTAATGTGCTCGGCCCATCCAAGGTAACAGAACAGGATGTCCACCGCTTCAATGAGGTCACATTAAAAGGATGGAAAAGCAAATATCAGCATTAGCCTTCAGTGCATTACTGGCTGGTCTTCAGCTGCACTCAGATACACAAAAATTGGAGCACAGACTGTAAAGTTGACATTCAAAAAAAACGGTTCCTTCCATTGATGGCAAAGTCTTTCCCCATCAAAGTTAAGTCACATCGTACATCTTACTGAAAAACAAAACATGAGGAAAACAAATTTAGTGTAATCAAACCCCCGTGGGGGCGAGGCGGCTGATAAAGGCGATACTGCTGAGGCACATCCTCCTGAAGAAGGCAGGGCAGGCAGGCTTCATGATGAAATGCTCCAAAAGAATTCGCAGCTCGGTGAACAAGGTACTGAGATAGAAAGAAAAGTACTTCACTCGGATTGTATTGAAATCAAATTTAATCTAATCTTTGTACCTTCTGAATAGCAGGGCATGCCAACTCTAAACAGAAGGGCCATGTCCTTGGTTGAACCCCAGAGCCTCTTGCTGTGAGGCAACAGCGCAAAACACTGAGTCACCATGTTGCTATGTGACAATAACGGATAATTCAAAGTCTTACCGGCAATACGGATTTCTTCTGGATGTGTAGCGCAGAGTGAGGAATCGGTAATAAATGAAAGGCAGCAATAGGCTCCCCTGGCCACTGTTGACAAAATATTATTGACATGAACATGTGAAAACTGGACACTCTGTATTAAGATTACAAAGAAGGGCTTGCATTTGTTAAGAGAAAACTGATAGATATTTATGAGATTAACACAACAATAACCACAAAACAGTCACTGCAACTAATCAATATTCACATATCTCTAGATTAGGGATGCTACAATTGGTCTTCAGAAAAAGAAATCGCTGACAGTTGTAAGCATACCTGAACAGCATAAAAATAGTTGCTGGCATCAAGAAGATCTCATTACAGGCAATAAACTTCAGGATATTCTGCTGATTAGTTGTCAGTTTGTCCAGGAGACCCCGGATAAACATCATGCTGTTTGGGCCCATGGTCTTAAAGAAACAGAAAACAGTCACAAAGTGAAATTAAAGCTTTGGCAAATCAACATTTTGAAATGAGCAGTGGGTGCAAGAAGTAAAAGGTGAAGGAAAACGCATTAAAAATCATTAGCCTCCAGACTTTAAGTCGCTTAATGGTACATTATACGTTCGTAGTTCAATTTAACTGTAACAGTTAAGTATAAAGTTCTTTACGTTGTGTTTCTCATTTGTCTAATCTCTCTCAAACACACACACACACACACACACACACACACACACACACACACACGAGCAGAGCAGCCATGTAAAGCGCTGCTCTGTTGCAACTGTGTGAACCCAACCACAAACCTACTCTGCTGCCTCAGACATGGTGGTCTGGCTGGTACCAATATCCCATCTTGTGGCTATATAATGTTTAAACTGATTTCACAGTAATTTTCAATAAGTCACTGTGGTGACTCATACTTACATCAAGAACTTTCTTTGTGTAGGTAGTTGCGTGAAGCAAGGAAAAAAGAAAAACTGGAAAGATGCTCACTGGACAAGAAGGTTAAGGTTAAATAACAAAAAAGACCAACTTCCTCCTAAATAATACAATAATAAGGGAGCATGATTCCAACTACGGAAAAACTAAATCTTTTACTGCTAAGACTAATTGATTTGTAATACTGCAGGTCTGAACCCTTTAAGGACTCCTATCAGACTGTCTTTGGAAAAAAACTGCAGCAACAAGTAAATGTCTGTCCAACTATAGCAGTGAAATAGTTTATTGTTTAAAACTAAAAAACACATAATGTATGTAGCAATGCTATCATCTCCATTTAATCTTGCAGACTTGCTCATAATGAAAGGATACTTGTAATGGGGTAGGAGTTGACCAGGATGAGTGAGTAGAGCAGGTAATGGCAGCTGTCCTCCTGCAGAGCCTGGGCCAAGAAAGCTCTGCTCAGCTGAAAGCGTGGAAGCCTCTGGTGTAAACGAAGCGCACTGGTGAGGGCATTCGCTAACAACGCTCTCTGATAGAAGTTAGCTGCTGCATAGGGTCTGAAATATACAAGCAGTGACAAAGACTCAAATGCTGATTTTGGCTGGATTACAATTACTTTTAAAGCTAACTGACATTTATAATTAGATGATTTTGCACAGTGAACTCACCCCAAAACTGGTAGAATGAACATTACAGAGCAATAGACAGTGAAGAGTCGTGACAGCCACATTGCAGTTTCCAGCTTGTTGCTCATTAGAAATTGCTGCAGAGACACAAAGATGCTCAACATTAAACCGAACCAATCCCTTGTTCTTGTCTCCATTTTTCTCATATATACTGGTAGCAGATTTACTGACTTTAAACTTACAGTCAGGTTCTCTCAGTGGCTAGCATAGAAAATTCAGCCAAACTAAAAAGCATCTTAATGCAATCTACAAGTTAATTTTACCGCCTTGCCTTCAAAAGTCAGGGGGCAGCTGCAACTCATCCTGGTCATCCTCATTCAACTGATGTTACTCAAGTGAATGATTGGTAGTGTAGGTCATCCAACTCTTGCAAACAGCACTGAAATACATGCCACACATCCCTACTCTACTTGCCCCCTAAGATAAACACACACGTTTGGGTGTCAAAATTACAGATTTGGGATGAAATCATTCCAATTATATGTAGAAAATAAAACAATCTAGGGCTAAAGCACTCAAATAAATAATATCAATTTAAAAAAAGTAAACTGTTCAGTCAAAACTATGCATAGCACATACATTTTGTAAGGGGCTCAAGATATCTTAAATCTCAGCAAAACTGTTCCCAATTTCTTCAAAATATCTGATAAAAGTTCTTGATGAAACAATTAACAGAAAATGAAGCACCATTTTCTTTCTTTTTTTTCTGACCAGGATGTGTACAATCAGAGTACACCTTTGGGCACAATAATACTGGAATATTTGAACTACAGAGTTAAAGCAGCCAACCTACCACAGGGCCTAGCTGCGGCGGAGGGTTTTGTTGGTTTGCATCAGCCATCTTTGGGGGTGCTGGTTTCTCTGTTGGGGGAAAAAAATTCAAGTTTAGAAGTAACCCTAACTGTTTTTACATGCTCATTGAAATTTCAGGTCACCTGTGATTAAATGGACAATCGATAATATTGTCTAGCAATTACATATGATCACACGATCACAACAGTGTGACATGAGTACAAGTGATGAAAATATCATCCCTTCCTCAATGATGATTTTCACTCTCTGGCTTGAGTTTCATCAGCTTCCTGAACAAAATATATGTCAATATAAAACCATTGACAAACTGTATCACCAAGAGCTGCTGTAAAACATAAATCTTCCACCAGACATCTGTCAATTATTCTACAGAAATCTCATAAAAATGACTGATTGCAAAGGTAAAATAATTAGTAACATTAATTATCATTGATTCTGAGTTTTTCAAGCTGAAACCACAACTTTTGTGTTTCACTCGGTTAGTTTTTTCCATCCTTTGTTATTTTTAAACTGGCTTCATTTAGATTTTAGTCTGATGAACAAACAAAAGAGGCCACCTTTGGCCTTATGAATCTTTCACCATATACTGGTAAATTTTAACTTTCACAAAGGTTCCGGATTCATCTATTAACTGACGCTGGAGATGGACACTTAGATGATCTATTCGCTAAGGTAAAATCGGGACGATTAAATGGTTAACCTTTGTAAGCACAAACTACATATGAATGGGACACATGGAATCTAACAACGATCATTCCCTCTAAAGGAAAGATATACCGGTAGCTAGCTGGCGGATGTGCTAATTTATGCTGGTAATGACTTGTTAATAACAGACACTATAAGGCCAAATGGTTAAAATATCCAGATACTGCTGTTAAATCCCAGACTGATGACTGCAAATTTATCATAAGGCAGCCCTGTGTGTATTTTATTAAGGCTAACGCTGTTTAGCAGCAGGTGTATCTAGAATATTCTGTTACCATCGTTACTAGCACGTCAGCTACCGCCTCAGCTAATAGTTGCTACCTAGGTCGTACGTGAATGCTTCCCTGATTACTTTGTCAACGTTAGGTCGCCTGGCAGTTTAAAGAAGACTTAATTAATAGCTACACCTGACCCTATATATGACAATAATAAAGCATTCTGCTTACCAGCGCTACAGCGTTGATTTACGTCGCGTGCTAACCGGTTAACGTGACAGGCAGAAGCTTGGCACTCTGGGAACTACTCTAGTAAACGATCAGCTGACCTTGTAGCGTAAGACGGGAAGTACGCTATTTCTCGCGATATATCAAAAACTGTCTTAATGTACCTAATGAAGCTTTGTTTTATATGTTTATTGAAAATTGTGCTCCTGACAGATACCCTCCATATTAGGCTGTAGGCAATTAAACGACTAATACTACAATTGAACTAATGAAGACTAAACTAAAATTATACATCCAAAGCATTCTAACTGAAGTGAAACGACAAAATCCATTCCGTAAACTCCCCCCAATATAAACAATACTGAAAGCTCAAACTCGAAATTAAAGAACAGTGAATAATAAAAAAGGATATATAATATAAACAGCTGTAATAAATCAAAAACTACGTAGGTTTCGCACAGAACATGATAACCAAAAACGAAAACATTAAAAGCAGTTTTACGTTAGTGATATACACAAAATCGAAATATTCAGAGGTGACATGAACATGGAAAGCTAGGAACATAGCATGAGGGTAAACCACGAAGCGAAAGATTAGAAGTACTTCAAACGCAGTGTGTATCTTTTAACAATAAAAATAAATAAAAAAAAATATATATATATTTTGTTTAATTTAATAATTTTCTATTTATTTTTTCTATGAATAGAAAGAGATACTAACTTATTTTTGTTTATTTATTCCCCATATAGAGGATACATCTTTATTGTCCATTTTGCTGTCTGGCACCAAAGATATGCTATTATTCAAGGTTCAAGGTTCTTTATTTGTCACATGCATAGTTATACAAGTATAACACACAGTGAAATGTAGCCTGACACGCTCCTCGACATGTGCAAAAAAATGTTATAAATGTTATATGTCATAACAAAACAATTAGGAGATGGAAGTCTAACGTTATCTAAAATTAGTAACGATATTGGTGTTGTTAAAAAGCACCTCTTATGCCCGTTTAAAGGAAAAACTGCGCCTGCGTCAAAGTCAACGCCCATATTATGGTCCTCACAGAGCTCTTTTCAGTGGTATTTATTTATTTTAGCCTTAGCACTGCTCAGAAACGGTACTGCTTGGATTAAAAATTTTAGGTTTACTGGGCTTTTTATTAGACAATAACAATATCGAATTTATTTTTTCCCTTTAACCAATCTCCTTCAGTAATGGTGAACCTTAAATCTACTACCACAAGGGGGCGCAGTCGACCAGAGCATCCTTCTGCTGCAGGTTGGCCTATAGCATGTGCTGAAAATTATTTTAGCTTTAAGTGCACCTTATTTGGTCCCATCATGTTTTAAAATCTTGCATCTGACTGCTGCTGTGGCGCATATGTCCGCAGATTATTGGCACGAGTGTCGCAGGATGATGTGTTTGCTGCAGATGCCATTTGAAAATATAGGCAGTGTAAGCACTGTAGAATCTAATTATTTCTTTGCAAAACCTAATTAGGCATTAAAAAAGGTTAACGCCAGCGCCTGAAACGTTTTTGTTTAATAATCCCATTACTGACGGCTCATCATGTATAAAATGGTGCAGGAGGACACTAAGTTTCCACTTGTTAAAGGGAATCTCTGAGAAATAGTCGCAGATTTTTGACACTATCTGCGATCGGAAATTAGGGCTTGTAATTAAACTGCGGAGACTCAGCACAGCACAGAGTAAGTAAGGCTGCAGCGCCCTGCCTTGCATGCATTTTCTATGTTTAATTGATGATTCTGCCTGCCTGCTTCAAAACGTTATTACTATTTTATCTTTTTTCTTCTTCTTTGGGCATGACAGAACTCTCCGAACGATAGCGTACACTGAGACTAGACCTTGATGATTTTTTTAGGTGTCAGCTCCTCTCGGACCATTACCAGTCACTAGAGAGCTCAAGGTGAGAATTTAAATGAGAGAACATTATGTGGCCAACTTTTAATTTGGCCGAGCTCCCACGGAAGAATGGAGCGGGTATTTGATAAGTTTCGCAGAGAGAAATATGTCACAAAAATTATAATGTCGATGTTTTTGCAGAAATGTGGGACTTCGGGGACGTTAATGATACCAGTATAAGTCCCGCATTGCTGCTGGGTGGATGAGAACCAGCTGAGGAAGCTTTCTAAAGGTGAAGGTTATTGAAATCTCAACGTTATCGTTTGAAAGCAAATGGGACAAATATATTATAGGACAATATCATTACTGTTTTATATTTATCACGATTTTGGCTTTTAGAAAGCCAGACTGCCTTTAAACATTTTAATGATTAGAAACCCCTTGAGATCAAACACCAGCACCAACAAACTCGCAGTTTCGAATAATTTACTCGATTTTTTCCTCTTCTGTGGGTCGAGTTCTGTGGGTTAGGAGCCCCGAGCTTAAAATATGACACGACTTTTTTCCCTAAAAAGTAAGAAAAAAATATAATATAACACAAACAGCGTAAGTCTGCGTTTAAATAAAATAAAGTAAAATAAAATCTAAAATAAACAATCCGGAAGCCAGCCAAAGTAATGATAAGCTTTGAAATTGTCTTGCCTTCATAATGTGGGGCCCTTCAATCTGTTTTTTCAATTTTTTTCTTTTTCTTTTTCTTTTTTAAACTGTACTTATATTTCGATTTTTAAGTGTTATTATGGTTATTTATCGTCCGAGGACACGACTATCAGTAACAGGGAAAACGATGCAAGTATTATACTTACAGAAATTGACTTCAGCAGAACAATATCTATTGTCTTTGATCTAAAGAAACACCCTTTTACGCATTACGCACTCACTTTATTCCGCTTTTAATCTTTTCCTTCAAAGCTTCTTCAACAGTTTTCGAGAGAAAAAAGAAGGGAAAAAAGAAAGGAGTGTGAGTGACAGACCAAAGCGAAAAGCTTCTTAAAGAAATAAACAGTCGTGTATGCTTAAAGGAATGCGCTTGTAGTGGCTCCATCTTAGTCTCTGAATCTATTCGGACAAAACAAACAGGGCGTGGAAGGGGATGAAAATCGGGACAAGCGAGGAAGAAGATGTTAAGAGAGAGTTGGTTTGATAGGGAGGAAAAGAAGGACACGGTGAATTTCCCTCAGACTGGTTAAAAGAACAATAAAACGAGTTATCAACAGACTCTGGCCTTTTTTCTCAAAGAATGCGTTTCAAGCTTATTTCACGATGACTGCAGTGATTAATGGTGGGTGTGAAACCTCTAGGCGAACTGATGAGGCCGAATGATATCTTTATATCTTCAGGTTTAAAAAGTGAAGTTGTACAATTTATACAAATGAATGTTTTTGCTTAATTTTTATCCAATCAAACTCCCAAAGAAAGCCGGAATAAAGTCAGACACGCGTACCAGATCTCCCCCAAGGCTAAAGGAAAGACAAATATTTACATACCCGTTTACCTGCAGTAACTTGTCAGTTATTTAAGTTATTTATTTGAGTTTGCTGTGCCTGTTTTCACTTCTGTCAGCTGGTTAAAATATACTTTGTTCTCTTGGCAGATTTTATTTGGATTAGGGTTCTCTTACAATCTTAATATTTTTTTTTTCACAAAAGATAGAAAACAGCACACTAAAATGTTTTTGATTAAATATTTTAGGTTATACAAATTATCCCTTAATTTTATTAGAACATGCACAATTTTCAAAAGATATCCTGCAAGTGGTCATCTTACACATGATTGCTTTAACAGGCTGCTCTTATATAAGGCAAAATGACAAAAACAGCATGTTGACTCCTGATATTGGACCATCTTGTTGGAGATTTAGACCTGGAATATTTATTTGAGCTAAACACTTTTGGAGGAGATGTGATCTACTGTTTAACAGACAAGTGGCTCCAGTTGTACCACATTTTTGTCTGTTGTTTACATGTAGTGTGTTTTCTTCATTACATTTGTAACGGCCCTCAGTTTGTGATGGCCATTACTGTCTGCTGCTGTATGTGTTTACACACTAAAAACAGTTTTATCACATTTTGCAAAATCTCTGAAATCTTTTTTCATGCCAGCCTTTTTTATGCAAGTGCTCAGAAATAAAACCTTCCCTGACATGTTGGCTTTGATTGACATAATGATCACAGAACACTTAAGGCAAATGAAAATGAACTTGTTTGGAAGGTAAAACGTTAAATAGATTTATCTTCCTGTAACAGGGGAGATGTGTACAATCATACTGTATTGTGTAACCATTTTAAATGTATTATGTGAGCCCTTATTTCTTTTTAAAGTCTAACGTACATCTATCGATATTATAGCTCACATTATATGAAATTAGAGCAATTTGCATAGATGCACATAGGTCTGGTTTTTGTCTTTCTTTTTGATCAGTGTATATTATTTACTGATCAGCCAGGGTATCTGGTGTCCACGCTTAGCACTGAGCCAAAATCTATTGAGATAAAAAGCAAAAAGGGATCTACCAGAAAGCTGACTTTCCCCCTTTTTTGGAAGTAAAGCCATGTTTGTTTGTGGCTTGAATGGGGGTTCTATAATGGAACTGATGGCATCAGGATTGTCACCACAAATGGTCTGGGCGTTCTGCAAGGCTGTTTGACAGAACCTATTATGTCATTGGTCACGTCCCTCCACTCCTTGCTCGCTTGGTTTTGAATGGGAGTGAATTAATCAAATGGTTTGAGAGAGATCAGCCAACTTAATGCACTTTGTGTCAAGGTCTGCAGTGATCTGGGACCTCAGCCCCCTTCTACCTGGACTTCCTGCATCTGAACATATCCATGCATGGACTGTAACCTGGCTGAATCAAATTTCTAAAGGGACATTTATTATGCCACAAAAACTGAATTGTCTCTGCCCCTTTTTCCCCCAAGAGACTTTTTATAATATAGCATGAGTTGCCATTTCATCATTTCTGTAGGTACTTATTAGGTGTTAAATATACTAGTATTGAAAGTAGCTATGTGTCTATGGCACCATTTTTTAAAAATGTTATTTATGTAACAGGCTAAATCATATATTTGCGATGTTATTGGACTGTATGAGTCTGGAGTGGAAGACAATTTAAACAGCACATGGCTATTTTTTTTTATGTATTTTCTAATAAATCAGCCTGTTTACTATTACTATTTTGAAGTTTAGTTTATTTAAGATCTTGATGAATTTACTGCTAATAACAACCCCTAAAACAGAATTTATAACTAGATTCTGTTGGGGGGTGTTGTGACTGCTCACTTAATGACCACAGAAATCGAGGACTGTGACACCAATCAGATTGTTTCTTCATATTGGATTTACTTAATTTCCATGGAAATTCACTCCTAGGGTTTCGTGAAGTTTATCAGATTCCACCCGGACAACAAGCAGTAAAGCCTTTAAAAGAGGATCTGTTGGCTTCAGAAATGATCCTGAAATACATATATTTTTTAATCAAAACTCAGCCACCATCGTATTTGTTTTCCAGGAGTGTAAAATGGTCCAGAGTCGAGCGCCGTAACGTTATTGCTTTATCAAACACAATCAAAATGCGAATTAATCAAAGCACTCTGCGCTAGAGCACCTATGCATGAGCATTGTTTGGTTGTAATGGATGGCTTTAAAATTTGACGTTATTATTTCCCGTCATTTCTGGAAACAAATTGAACATTTATTGCATATATATTAAAAATTATACAGTCGTCAAGAGAGGCTGATGTCTCTTTTATTGAGGCGCACCGAGAGGTGAGGTCTCACCGGATCAATTTCCTTGTCTTGTTACTCCCGCAAGAGGATGTTTGGAAAATGCCTGCACCGCTAAATTGATTCAGAAACGAATTCATAACTTGAGGCGTTTAAGCAATTTTGTGGCGCCCAGTTTTTATCCCCAATCTTTTCTTTTATTTCGTGTTTTGATTGCTTTAAGCACCCAAACAAAGTTTTATACCATTCGGTTTCTCGTGGAAACAGGTTTATTGTCAGTTCTGCGGCCTTTTGTCCACGTTTGCCTATTTTTCATTCTTTACAAAAAAATGCATTTAATACACTGGGTTTTGGGTGGCTTCGCAAACATAGCCATTAAGCAGTCACAATGCTTTTATTGTGCACTTGATCTCAAAATAGAGGCTGGTCTGACTCCAGGATCCAGACAAACCTATGGAAAAGGCCTTGTCTTTGTCTGCCTGTACGGAGATGAATGGCCCGTGTCAACCAGATGATTAGTTTGCACTATTAAATTGTCAAAAAGGAAGGATTTTTCCCTAATAGTGCCTTTTCGTGAAGAATTATGGAATTCAGAGTTGTTTGCGACTGCCGGGGAACTTGCAGGGCTTTGCAGGGGCGAGGGCGAAGGTCAGACAGAGTTCTCAGCGCTGCGTCCAGTGTAGCACAGCAGTCAGAAGGGAAGTGGAGACAAATGTAGGCTTATTTCCTACACCATGGGAAGATTAATACCTATTGTTCGAGATGACCGATATCCTTGCAGTGACATATGATTCAACAAACTGAGGTGGGTTTATCTTAACGCGCGATAAGTCACCCAAATCTTAAAACTTAGTGTGTAATTGCGCACCAACAACTCGGCACAAATGATCAGCAAATCGTCTAAGAACACTCATATAACTTAAATTGGAATTATTTGTTCAAATTTAAAATAACGAAGCTGCTGCATAATATCAAACGCACAAAATGTGCAGTCTTGCGCCAGATCTGTCGCTGCACATTGGCTGTCTTTCTGCACGCCCTGACAGTTCTGCTCCAGCCAGGAAACCCCCTTCCATCCCGCTCAACCTCTATTCTAGTGCCAACGTTTTGTGTTAAATGTTAACAACTTGGCCTGATTCATTTAATCGCCAACAAATCTGTGTTGACTCTAACACTCGCCTCCATTGTGCCCATTATGCGCCTGCCCTCACTTGAAGATTTATGTATTTTTGATATTAAATTCCTTCTGTCATCAAGACTGCTCTCTTGTTGACTTTTCTTGACCTGCCGACCTCGTTCCCCAAACTTTCCCATATTTAACGCGGGACCCGCAGCCTCCTCCCCACCAACTTCTTCTGCTCTGCCATAGCTGAATGCTCAGTGGCTCCTTTTGTTGGCATGTGCTGTTTGCACTGTTCTTGAACTTCAGTGCGCTGCCCTGTCCTCATCCTGTACTTTGAACTCTGCAGTAAAATCTTCCGTCGAAAAAAAACACACGCATTGTTCGCCAACGGATGGAGTCAGTCCCTTAAATGTTGCACACTCTTTAATTTGCTATAAAACAGAGTGGACGGACTGTCCGAGCATCATAATTTGGCCGATGTGACGGATTATTATCTGATCCTTGATGCTCACTATCCACGCAGTCTTGGCTGGATTTGTGTGCTCCATCCACATCATCCAAACTGCATTCATCCTCTGTTGAATCAGAGTGACGGATGCCCGTACCTTTGCCATATATGACGTCCATGTCGTCTATACAAGCCTCCCTCTGGTTGCCCAGCTTGCTAATTAGTTAAACAAACGTTCATACTAATGATCCCACTGGCCTGGTGAGCTTCGGGGTTTTTGTTCGCCTACTTTCCCCCAACTTCTCCCGCTGGAAACTTGGCCCTGCTGACCCGAGCTATCACGAAGCTGTGTAGATGGCTGGACCGCCCTGTCCGGAGTCCAACCCCCACAGAGGGCAAAGGGCAGCGTCCAAGGCCCGGGAATGTCACCACCAGCTGCTTGCGGTGACACCATTTACAAAGGGGGCTTGGTGAGCAATCCTTCTATGGGTTGTCAGTGTTGTGACAGTGCTGTTCTGACATTTATTTACTTGTAGGATCAAAACTGACGGTTTGGCTTAAGCAAAGAGCCAAGTTGTACATTGGTTCAAAGGTAAAGAAAGCATCTGCTAATGCTTTATAAATTAGTTATATTCCACTAATAATGAGATGCTGGCAGTTGGCAGGTGATGAAAACTACCTGACTGGTGTCTGTAGATAATCTGTATTAATTACTGACTCGTAAAACGTATTAATGCTAATAACTATAGACAAGAACCATACAATTTATCAGTGAAGTATTAATATGTTTAAATAAGGCATCAAATACAGAGGTTAACAACCTGGTAGACCCATGCTGTAACTTTTGCCATCGTAATTAAGGGAGGAAAGACCCCAGGTCTAATAGCATTGTGTTTGATCATTTGAAAGTCAGTAGTTAGAAATTTGCAGCTTTTTTCTTAGTGCAGTAAATAAATAAATAAAAGCGATCTGCAGTCTAACAGCGGTAAGTATCTATGAATTGCTAATACCAGCAACATTTAAACCAGAAAGTGCTTTCGCAGCAATGCAAAATGTTCATGCAACATATTTTTGTGTTTATTCATTAGACTGATTAATGAATGCATCGCCTGCCAGAGAAGTGATTAGTTAACAAGATTATTCCGATTAAATATTTAATAATGTTGTCATTCTTCCACCAATATAAACAGTGCCTGGGGTAAACTGCAGCAACGCAAATAGTAACGGTAATTATAGGCAATAAGGCGGTCATAAGCGAAAGGTTTGTGCGTTTATGTGAAAGCTATCCTGGGTTTATGTCCCGCTCTTCCTAAATTCAAACGTTTTTCTTTCTCTGCAGCGCGCCGTGCGGTTAACACTGGGCCCATTACACGTTGTCATTTGTGGCTCTTGGTGTTATTTGGACAATGTTTGGCCATTTACCCAGCCTGTGTCTGCGCGCTCCAAGGAGGTCTCGACAGAAATTGATACTAATTGCAGGGACTGTACACTGCTGGCTAGTGGAGCGCCTGCAGGCAGTTGGAGGACCTGCTTGTCACCGCCTAATTGACAAGGGCTTGTCTGTCCTGGGAGCAGCTGGTCCTAAGCACTGGCGCACAATCGCAATCTTGACACGGCCTCCACTCGCCTGAAGGAGTTTTGAGGGGAAACGCCGTTAAAGGGAGATTTATTGAATCTCCCTTTGGGTGACGCTGTATTAAGTACGCAATATAGGCTTATATCCACGGGTGCAAAAGGGAGTCACACTCCTGGTATTAATAACAGAAGGTGGCAATTAGGCCAGACAGGTGACATTTCTTGTGACATTATGAATCACAGCAAACAAGACAAGCGCGGGTAAATAAAGGCTATGTGAAATCGCTTTTAAGGAAAAGTTATTTTACTTTTAGCAGCTACATGACACACAATGAGCCTGTATGCGCAAATCGGATGACTTCAGGGGGATGTGTTGCACCAGCCATTCAGCTGGCTCAGACACAAATAACATCACCCCTCACAGTAAAATAATCAATTCATTATTCTGGCCTGTTTCTATTAGACCATGTCGTTATAGCTGAATGCATCAGGAGGAAAAAGCCAAGCAAGTATTGTTTTCGTCTGCAAATGGAAAAAGGTTTTCCTGCACTTTCCCACTGCCTGTAAAGAAATGCTGCTTTTCTGGGCCTTTTGAACTGAAAATCGTGATTTTTCCCCTGGTGTTCTCCGGACGCGCTCCTTTCTTTCTGCGGAACAATGACAACACTGGAGCACCCCGCCGGTGCGCCACAGTTGGGGATCTCCATGATTGTTTTGGACATCTTTGGATTTCATCAATCAAAATGACTGCAGTTTTCCATAAAAATGCTGAATTTGGTCCTGGAACCGAGCGGGCAAGGTAGAAAATACGAAGCTGTCCTTCTCGATGATAAATGGCCATCCTTTGATTGAGCAAATAGAGAAATACGTGCCATAGTACTGAGAAACAGGCGAAGATTGTGAGGCGAGGACTCATGGTCTTGTGTCAGATCATGCCAGAAATGAATCACCACAAATCATTAGGCTATAAAAGCGACTGCATTTTCCCAAACCCTGGAAATCTGTAAGGCTTAAGAGCAGGCTAGATCTTAACTGATCCACACTTAAGTAAAACTTAAGTAGCTTAATGGCCACTATTACCAGAACGATAAGTATTACGCACGCTTAAGAAAAATGTTAAAACTCTTTTTACACTAGTGCCATGAAGGTTATTTTTCAACTACTCAAGCCGAAACAGTGAGTGTCAGACAGACATTAAGTTCACCAACGGGTGCCATATCATACCGATAATATTGGTCTTTATTTTACCAGGTTAAGTGTAACAAATGAAACGCGTGCTCATAAACTTAAAGGAGGCTTTGGCCTGGAACTATAGGGAGCTGGTCCACTATCCCTGCCTGCCCTCCCATCCAATAAACCTCTATTAACATGGAAATGTCACATCCCATTGACTAAAACTCAATTATGTGCACACTCGCAGCATCTTTAGAGTGGACTAAAACTTTTAATTTCCCCAAAAAGCCGTTTTGATTTAATGGCCATTCAGAAGCCCATGAAGGTGTTCTATCTAAATGGCCTTAATGCCGCGGCTAATTATCCAGTATTGACATATTGTCCCGCCTCAGGTCAACAGGTCAGCAGTTGGAGATTAATGACACCGGAAGGAGGTTGTAGGAAGAGGTAACAAGGAAACCTGACTGTAATTTTTTATATTGCAATATAATACTTAAGATTTTGTTCACTTCAATGTTTTCGGCTATAACAGGCCGTGTAATGTTACTCAGACATTGTTGGGGTGGTTTTTACCTTCGTGTTTACTGCTCATATAAAATCCCATCAATGGCCCTCCTAGATTATTTATTATTCAAATGAGAATTTATAGTTTCTACTTTATAAGTAGCGACTTTCGGTTTAGGTTTGTATCTTTCTTTTTGCTTTTATCACCACGGTTATATTTCTGTTTTCATATAGCGTATTTTCTTTTAATGATTTTAGGCTAGTAGTGCATTCTTGTAAGGACTCTTCCCCTCCCTCATTCCCTCTAAAAGATACAACAGAACTGACTGGCTTGTCGAGCTTGAAGAATTGTTTAATTTCAGAGCCCCGGCGTTTCCTGAGGTGAGGTCTGCATTGGCTGCTAATAGAGATCTAATTGATGGGCCGAGTCCCGTTTCCGTGCTCTCTCTCCCTTTATTGCGCCCCGGCGTCTGCTGTAAAATAGGTCTGTAATCAGATTCCGCCTATTCCTCCTGGAGCAGGATGAGAGCTCAGGGCTGCGGAGAGAAAGAGATGGGGCAAAAAAAAGAAAGAACAGGGGGGAAAAAATCGTTATTAAAAAAGTTAAGCCTTGAGTAGAAATTCAACATACTGTTGAGGCTTGATGAAAAAGAGGAAAGTCGGCTTTAACATACAAATTGCCTGACTTTTCTTTAAATAAACCCACATTATTACTATAGAACCCTCCAGTGCGGCTGCAGCACTCATTAGTGATTTTTTTAATCTGTCAGAATAGCCTTTTTCTCCTTTGGGATTTATAGGTTTGCAATATTTTTTATACTGAACTCTTACAAGATTAATATAGATCTGTCATAAAAGGCTTTGATATTGCTGACAAATGCGCCTTCTATAATTATTATTTTAACATGGTTATATGTGCTTTCATGACTCGCACTCTTAGTTCATGATCTAATCAAATATCACACAGTCCACTGTTGTTGTCATTCACCCAGAAGGTACAGAAGATGTCAATCAAATCAGACTGGCAGCAACAGAAACACACTGATTCTCTATTTTTTATTTTTTTTTGCCATCTCCTCTGCTTCTCTCTCCATCTCCTATAGAGCTTCCTGGAAGGCTGTGATTGGCCGTCTGTCTGGGCAGTGATAGCAGCCCTGGAGCCGAGGATGATTGATGATGGCGAGGGCAAGGCCGAGCGCTAGCAGCATAAAGCCCCATAGATGCCTCAATAAAGAGCCTGGCTAGTGGAGAGCCTGGGCCCCGCTCAATAGGGCCCCTCCGCCTCTAAGGACCCACGGCTAGAAGAGTGCATGGAGAGAGGGAGAGGAAGAGAGGGAGAAGGAGAGGTGCTCTGTTGTTGGGTAATCTGTTTAGCTATCGAGCCAGCAGCCGTCTGAGGCTGGATAAGTGCAGCGACGGATGTGTGTGGGGTGAAAATAGCAGGGGTTGGCTGGTGGAGTGCTGGAGGGGAGATACAGGGAAAGAGAGAGAGGGAAAAACAGAGCGAGAGATGGATCATCCAGTCTCAGCATGCATAATGGAAAAAAGGGAAGCGGATGAACCAAACTGGAAATGAGATCTGCAGGCTGCTTTTCACACACACATACACGCACACTATAAATGATCAAAAGCCAAAAAAGTTGACCACAAGAAAGTGACTGAAGACTCAAACTGAGTGATCTGACCCCAGTGCTGCCACTCTGGTGGCCATTATTCAGCCTACAGATGCATAACTGTGGTGACCTTTGCTTCAGCAAATCAATGAGACCCTGCTAGGTTGGATTCCTTCGGAGCTGCGTCCACTGCTGCGGCCCCATGCAGCCCTGTTGCAACCCCTAGTTCACAGCAACTCTGAAAAGCACAATTAGGCAATAATCTGCTCCTACCAAGCCAGCTTTCAGCGACTCCAGCATGGCTACACGATGTCCTGCAGACCCTCCTGGCTGGAGTTGAGAGAATGGACTGTTGGCCTGATGACTGTTGGCGTTGGCCTGATGAGGGTCTGGAAAGATCAAAGTTGTAGGGAAACATTTTCCAGAGCTTGGGCTAATAAGGATGAATATTAAAAAAAAGTTTGCTGTCAATTTACAAATAAATGAAAGTTTCATAACAGTTGCGGCCTGGTTTGAATGCGCTTCTCCCAAGAATACTTTGCACAGATTTTAACTCATTCAGATCTGCATTTTCTTCAGTTGGATTTGTATTGCATGTTAATGAACATCTTTGTTCTAACGCATTCTAAAAATAAATCTACCAAATTTTTCACCAACTACATCTGCTCTTTGATTAATCTGCTCTTGCACACCATGTAATAATATAAAAAAAAAAAAAATCCCTTAAAAAAAAACTAAAAAAAAAAAACTAAAAAAAAATATTCAAAAAAACCAAAAAAAAAAAAATTATATATATAATATATATATATATATATTATATTATATATATATTATATTATATACTATATTTATAAGCACATGCCCAAACCATATCTCACAAACTTTAGAAAGGAAGTCAAGATTTTATAAGCAAATTGTTTCAATTTAGAGGTTATCTGGCACTGGACATTGAATGGAGGATTCTCACCTGCATGAAGATTCAAGGAAAGGTATAAGGGTTTGTAAGCCATATAAGAACAACATATCCCAGGACATAGTTACCGCTGATGTGTCCTTGCAGCACAGTGACAGGAGGGCATAGCATCGGAGGTCAAAACAATGGAGGTCAAAAATGGAATCACAATAACAGAATAAACACACATCTCCCAAATCTTACTAGTAACCCAGAGCACAAATTTCTCCAGTGAATGAAGGCATTGACTGTGAGGTCAGTTTTTATTGCCTTATGAGGTCAAAACTAATCAAGTTTTTGCTTTCAAGTCTAACGTCTTCAGGCTGTTGAGACCTCAAAGCAGTAGTTGACTGGGTGATTTTAGGTGAACCTAAGCAGAAGATTCAAGTCAGCAACATTTTAATAGCAAATTGTAATTTTAGTAGATTAGAGAATGAGGAGAAGGTGTTTTTTGATATGTTATGATAAAACTAATATAAAGAAGGCATAGCTATAGCATGCTTTATATTTGTATGTTTGCCATGTAAGATGTACCAAAAGTCCAATAAATAGTCTAAACTTAAGATATTTGCAGTTATATTTATCACCGATCCAACATCAACACTAAATTGGATATCCAAAGTTGTATCAGTCACTGAATTTTCAAGTATTTGATCCTAAGGATAATTTTAAAAAACAGGATAGACACACTGCAGACATACTGAAACAACAATCACGCAATTTCCCATTAAAGCTGGAAGCATTAAAGAAAAAACTCCATCTGTAAACTGAGTAGAACAGCCTGAACAAGAAAGAAATGTGATTCATTAAAGCGATTAAAGCCAAAATAGCATCAAAACCTACAGAACCTAACCTCCAGCAGTGGATTAGCAGGTAAAGGAAGAGTCAATGAATGTCAGCCAAAGAGTCAAACAATGAAGAAGGTGCAGGGGCTGTCCTTGAACAATGATGCCTTGCTGCTGACCTGGCCAAAATGCCCACACCCTGAATCAAAGGTGGTAGTCGACTGAGCATTTGAAATGACTGCTAAAGGTGCAAAAAAGTAGATGAGTCTTATAGAAGCACTACAAATACACATTTTCTTACCAAACACTAAAGAAAAAGTTAAGTTTGTCTTTTAGGATATTTCTATTGCAGTGCTGCAATAACCAGGCAAGAACTTTTAAAAGAAGAAAAAACACTTAACTGGACAAGAATTAACCCCGAGTTAAAATATATTTTAAGAGCACTTTAACAAATTAAAAGTAGACTAGAAAAGAGGTACTTCTGTCAAAAATGGTGACAGACCAGTATAATCCACTCACATAAGGATTGATTTGAAATAAAGGTGGATGTAGAGATGTTCAAAATAAACATAAAGCAACATGATTGTAAATTAGACCTCAACTTTTGCCGTTTGTTGATTATTAATGTAGTGTATTTAACTAATTCAAAATATATAGAGCACAAATTATATCAGGACACTGAGCATTTTAAATTGTTTAATATTTTAGCAGCATTGCACAGGGTGAAAAAAATTCACAAACCCTCTTAAAGCAGGTTTAGGGCCACACTGTCTGATCAGACAGGACTTCGGGGTTTTTAGATGAACTGTATGAACTCTGGGGACGGACTTACAACAAGGAGAAAAATAAAAACAAAGGAGACAGCAAAGCTAGAAAACACTGGTCAGGTTTCAAGATTCATGTACAAACAACACAGGAAGACTGGTTTAAAAACAAACAAACGAACTAGGTTTATGAAATAAACAATAATCATAATGACTAATGTTCAGGAGTGTGAAGCTGCTTGGCTTTTCTGTCAACCCCTCTTATCCTTGGCCTGTTATTAGGGTTTTGTAATCTCCTTATGATGTGAATGAATGACTTGTACTATTTACTAATGAACCTAAAACTGCCTAGCTAGCAACAAATTACATCTTATTGCTCTACAGTCAATTAAAGCCACAAGAAAAATCTGTGTGAGCAGTTCAAAAGCAATAGGTTGATGAAAGATAACAATCAAATGTGTCTTTATTGATTTGTGATTAGTGTGGGGGGCTCATTCGTGGGGTATCCATAACTTGATTTTGTCTCATATCTTAATTGCTTAATTGGAGTGATTATTTAGCAATGGGAAACCAATCCACCTGTTCCCCCCTCTGTACACGTGAACGAGTCAACAGTGTTTGAAAGTCATGTTGAAGCATACAGTTACAAGTTCTGCATTACAAATAAAAGCCCCTGCATTCAAATCCTGCTTCTAAACTCCTTTTGCACTAAATTATTTTTATGTGACATCCATTCATAATTTAATATTTTAGCTGGATGAGGTTAATCTGATTTAAACTAGTTTACCTACTAGCAGTCAGATATCTTAAAGGACCAGTAAAAAGGAAAGCCTCAGATGCATCCTTTGTCATAAAAATGCAATATTTGGATAGACTTTTTATTTTTTATGGTGCGTGTCCAAAATCTGGTCTCAATTGTTCATAGTAATAAAAGCTGAAAAAGACTTTGTCAATATACACTCAAAGCGAAAGCTGGCTGTGCTCTTTTCATATTTGTGGTTGAAATGTTAATGTAGTGGCAGAGAACAATCTTCCAAATTACAACTGAAAGTACATATTGTTCTTTGTCCTCAAACAATGTCTGGAAAATTATCTGTCAGATGTCAGACTCCAAAGTAAGTTGAGGGCAGTGGAAACTAGCACAAATTCACCTCAGTGGTGCTGGCTGGAGTTTATGGTGTTTTGGGTATAAATCAGGGGGATACATGCAATGTATTCACTGATGCTTGTGTGCTGGAAACAAATTAGAAGGTTTGTAACAATTTCCCACTTTTTCCTGTAACCATTTGGAAACTGATGAGAACAGTTGCTCTAATTTTAAAAGCAAAATGTCTTCTCCTTCTTGCTTTAACGTGAGATGAGTTTAGCTTGTAGGCTAGTATAACACCTGAACTCTTTCACCATGGAGCCATCCTGTTACATTATGTGCAGAATTGGTGCAGGATTCTCTTGCTGAAATAAGAAAATTCATATTGACTTGATTACTGCATATGTTTCTCCACCATCATGAATGGTGCTTTCAGAGATGTTAAGTTTTCCATACTGTGTACACCCCCATACAATCCCTGGTAATAGTTTTTGAAATGTGCACTCGTAACATGAAGTATAGTCCCCCTTATCTGTGGCTGGGATGTACTCTTTGTCCATGAACTCCAAAACGAATTTCAAGTTTTCATTGCCACAGGGCAGTTTTCCACTTCACTCCATCCATGTTGAAGAAGTTCAAGCCTGGAAAGGGCAATGCTATTTCTGGAATCTTCTCTCAGTATTTTATACGTATATTCTACGCACAGTAGTCTCAATGCATGCTTGATCATCCAAGTAAGTAAATCCAAAAAGTTGACACTGTTGATATGGATGTTTTTAATGATGGTCACATATTCAGTCACATTCTCTGAGTCTTTTAACGATATTTTATACTTCAGGTGATAAAAATCACCTAATTTTTTGCATTTTTGTCGCTTTTTAT